GTACCAGGGTTTGAACTCGGGTCTTTGCGCTTGCAAGGCAGGCCACCGAACTGCTGAGCTAAATCCCCGGCCCGATGGCACTAATTTCTGTTATTAGGGGACTTTAATTTTTTAGCTAGACCTTGCAGTTAGTGAGGTGGATTACAGCAATGTCTGGAGCCAAATTTAGGAGCCAAACTTCGAATCCAATCACAAGCACAAGTCCATTACTTTCTGGCTGTGAGACCTTGGGCAAGTAACTTGGGCTTTTTGTGCCTTAGTTTCCTCATCAGAAAAGTGAAATAATACCTACTTCCTAAGGTTCTTAGGAGGATTAAATGTTTTCACATCTGTAAGGTATTTTAGATAGTACTTGGCACTTGGTAAGTTCCTTATCACTGTTAACTGTTGTTGATGTTGTTATCCTCACAATGACATTTTTCACTCGAAAAATCAAGGTTTATTTTTACATCCCAATGAGATCTAGCTGTGATTTTCTTCTGCCATAATAGATTTTTAAGGATGCTTTAATGGTTAAGGGAGGCGGTAAGGCAATTTAAAATACATATTTAGAATAAAATGCATTCTAGAAAATAAAGCAGACCTACTAAGGCATACTTTTTCCCACTTTGTAAGCAGGAATATCAAGAGCACTTAATGCTGATAATTTAAATATTCTACTTGCTATAGTTTATGGTTACTCTTGTATCAGTCTTTAGTCTGGTCTACATTTTAGAAAACAAATTATGTACTTACTAGAAATGCTACTTTTGATATCATAATTGATTTGTCCTTATCTTTAAAAAAGTAATCTGTATTAGGTTTATAATTCTGAGCCCTACTTGGTATAAGGGGCAGACACCTGACAGTTGATTCTCTGAGTCTTGTTTCTGATTTGGGCCTTGTTAGGTTGTAGAAATGCTGGAGGTTCCAAATAAACCTACGCAGCTGTCATACAAGTACTACTTCCTGTCTGTGAGTGCTGCAGATCGTGAAGATGGCCCTGTTATGGCACTGCTGCTACAGCAGTTCAAGGAAAACATCCAGGACATGATTTTCCGGAAACCTGGGAAACAGACCAGAACTGGTACCAAGCGCAAGGTATGAGCACATTATGAAAAAAGTATAGATTTTGTATATATTCCCTTTTTTGTGTGTTTTTTTAACCTTTTTTTTTTTTTGGTATCGGAGATTGAACTCCGGTCCTTGTGCTTGTAAGGCAGGCCAGCAAACCGCTGAGCTAAATCCCCGACCCTTAACCTGTTTTTAATATGAGAAAGAATTAAATACAGTTTTCAAGAGGACAGTGATGATGTTTAAGTAGCAATTGTCTGCATTTTCTTGGAAATGCTTATGTTTTAGGTAATAATTATACATTTTCCACAAGAGAACTTGTTAAACATACTGTTTACTACTAACTTCCCAGTGTTTAGGTGAGTATCTGCTCAATAAACCTTTGTTGAAAGAGTGTAACATTTGTTTTGGTTAGCACTGAGCTTTGTTACAGTAGTTTAACTGCTGTGAGTTGTGTGTACTTTTTCTTACCTATTGTGTTTTTTCTTAAATTATAGTTGTCTGAGGATTCATGTCCAGTAGAATCCAAGAAAACCAAAAGATCAGGAGAAACGTGTGCCTTCAATAAAGTTCTAGCTCACTTTGTTGCTATGTGTGATACAAACATGCCATTTGTAGGACTTAGGCTGGAGGTAATTTTTTGGAATAATTCTGATATTCTAAATGAAAAAGTAATGTGTATTTATTTATTTATACTGGGGATCAAACTCAGGCCCTTGCACTTGCGAGGCAGGCACTGGAACCACTGAGCTAAATCCCTGGTGCTGAAAAAGTGATTTTTAAAGTGCATTGCTTAATTAAATGGATTCAGTTTAGAATGGGTATGAGCCTGTTCATTTTTGGGAGGGTGTGGTTGCAATCCTGGTATTTCATGGTATGCATGTAAAATATAACTTATTTTTTCTTTGATTTCAGGTTCTGGGCCTTCTACTCATTATGTAAAGTAAATTCTCAGTGAAACAGCCAACTTTTTCCCTCTTAGTAGGCACTTTCTTAAGCCTATTAGAGTTGGTTGATAAAAAAGAGTGGCTCCTTTTTTGACTTTAAGCCACACAAATAGCTTAAGCACTAATAAAACTGGGCTTCTTCATTAGAAGCTATAAAAAATATTAAACTATATTTTTACTTTTGTCACAGGTGTGGGGTGCATGCCTGTAGTCCAGCACTATGGAGGCTGAGGCAGGAGGATGAATTCAAGGCCAATGTGGGCTACATAGTGAGTTCAAGGCCAGTCTGAACTACATAGTGAGACCCTGTCTCAAAACAAAAGAATATATAGGAAAGTAAAGAGAGGTAACAACCTGAATTTTTTATATTTCCAAAAAGAGGTTTGGCCAAGGATTGACAACCCTTCATAAGTGATAGATTAAAAGTCTTCATTTCTCTCTAGTTTAAATTTTTTATTTTTGTTACAGTTCCCTCTTTTGTAAGTTACTATAAATGATGACGAGATCTGGAAACAGGAAAATTAATTGGGCTGATGCTGGCTTGAGGAGCCTTTATGAAAATAGCTTTTATGCTTTGAAATTGGTTAGCGAACCTTTTTTGTAAAGGGACAGACAGTAAATATTTTAAGCTTTGTGGGTCATATGTTCTTTCTTAGAACTTAAATCAGTTGTTGTCATAGTTGATATTTAAACAAGTCAACATAGCTATGACCCAATAAACTTCATTTATAAAAACAGGCAGTGGGCCAGATTGGGCCCGCAAACCGTTATTTGCCCGCTCCCACTTTAGAGAGCTTTGGGATCTTCAAGCAGAGGATAAGTGTGAAACTGTGATGAGCGCAGTAGCTTAGAGAGAAACCCAAGCCAAGAAACAGACACCTAAAATAGGTTCTTCTGCCCTTGATGTTCCCCAGCTCCTGGAACTGTGAGTGAGCTTGGTGAATGTCCTCTTGTCTGGGAACTGGCCACAGATCCTAAACTGTAGAGTATCCATTTCTTTATTGTGTCACTTGTATTGATTATATGAGTGTCATTCTGTTGCAACCTTTGCAGTGGGATGGGAGAACATGTGTACTGGGATGTTGCAGGGCATTTGTGTCCTCTCTCCGTACCCACAGGCCAAATTTCACACAAATGTGTGTTTTGCAGGCTCACAGAGAGTAAAGCCTATGACAAATGCCTTCTCTGTGCCCCTTCTCTGGACGGCTGCTGCACACAGAACACTTAAGAACATTTCTGTAATACTCTACTGAATTCAATCAAGGTTTTCAAAACTTACTTAGCTTTTCTTCTCCCAGTTAAAGTTCTAGTTATATTAAAAACAAAAGCAAACATTTTCTGCTTACAGTAACTTACTCTGAGATGTGAATAACTAAATCTGATATTACCAGAGCTGTTGTTTTTTTGGCACTGGGGATAGAACTCCAGTCCTTGCGCTTGCGAAGCAGCCGCGGGAACCACTGAGCTAAATCCCCAGCCCTTACCAGAGCTATTTGTATCTCTGATTGATAGAATAGTGGCAATATCTTTGAGGCTGTCCCATCCTTTCCTTCACTTCTTTTGAATCTGGATCCCTACTGCCTCTCTGCTAAGTAGTTACTTTTCTAAACCTCTACCCCTCCAGGGCAAAGAGTCAGTAAAATACTTAACTAATTTAAATCCTTCCTCGAACAAGGCACATGTGAACCCTCTATCAAAGGAGACCTGACAGTATCTGCCAAAGGCAAGCCTTTCTTTGGTAGATCAGATGACTCACTGGCATTTCTTAACAACTTTTAGTTGTGTAGAAAGGGGTTCAGGTGCTGTCCCTGCATTCGTCGTCTTAACTCACTTTCTGAATCCTCCAATTGGGAAAGCAATCTCACTGAGTAGATGCATAAATTGGAAATTTTCTTTTCTTTGGTCTCAGACAGAAAATTTGATTGTTAAAAAATAAACTGTTAAAATGTATTTCAGTAAAGGAATAAACTTAAAAAGTATTTGTTATGATTAGAAACGAGATATGACTGTGACTCAAGCTTGTTTTGAACAAACAAAATTTACATAAGCAAACTAGTCTTATTTTTTCAGTTGCCTCATTTGAAACCACCAGATTTGGTTCTGGGTCACTTTTAACTTGCTACAAAAATTAGGTTAATTTCCTGAGTTTTGATTTGCCATCTTTGAAGGCATTTTTGTTTTGTTTTTAAAGACAGGGTCTCACTGTGCAGCCCAGGCTGGCTGTGTGGTCCAGGCTGGCCTCAAACTCTGTGATCTTGTCTCAGCCTCCTGAGTGCTGTGATTTCAGGCATGCTCCACCACACCCAGCTCAGGTGTTTTTAAAACTAGAGTCTGAGGGCAGCTTTGCGTTTCACTGTGTTTACGTGTAGTTTCTCAAGAAATCTAATAGTGGGGACACTGCTTATGATCGATGGTGATCTAACTTTGGTAGACTGGTCCTAGAACTGATGGCTCGAGAATAGAGGCAGGAGTACATAGAAGAAGGTAGGTTTCTTTGTAAAATTAATGGTCTGTTATGGTTGTGCTTGTCTTTTCCCAGTTGTCCAATCTGGAGATCCCACACCAAGGAGTGCAAGTGGAAGGTGATGGCTTCAGCCACGCTATTCGCTTATTAAAGTAAGCCCCTGTAGTGTGACTCAGCGGGTGCCGCACATTGCAGTCACACCGCCAGAGTTGCATGAAGCAGAGTCAGAACCTTGAGATGTTTTGGGTTTCTGCATAGACTCACTAACATCTAAGGGAAGATTCCTTTTAACCTGCGGAGTGCAGTTCAGCATGGCGTGGTGTTTTAGAATGTCTTTCCTCTGCATTTCTTTTACTTGTCCAGCAGATATTTTCCAAGTGGGACTATGGGACTATGTCAGGCTTGCATTCTGATAAAGCCTTTCAGGACACTGGGCTTCCTAGAGGTGGATGAGCAACTTAGAAGGTGGAAGGGGCATTTTTTTTTTTTTTGTACTGCGGATCAAACTTGGGACCTTCTACTTGTGAGGCAGGTGGCAACACCACTGAGCTAAATCCCTGGCCCCCGGAAGGGATATCTTGAGGAAATACCAGTTGTATTCAGGCTGAAGGAGAGGGGGTAATTAGCCGGAGGAAAGGGAGGTACTGTGGGAATTGGAGGCCTCAGGTGGAGGTTTGGAGGGAGGCGGGAGGGAGCTTGGCAACCTGGAGCCCAAAGGAGTTCAGCATGGCAGGAGGTAGAGAGATGAAGATGAGGTTGGAGATGTAAGCAGGAAGGGTCAGATCCTGGAAGGGTCCTTAAACAATTTAAAACTTTATCTTAATGGGCACTAAAACATCATCAGATGATTTGAAGCAAAATCTGACATTATTACATAGGTGTCTCTGATGTTTAACTTGACAGCGTGGAGAGTAAACTGGAGGGAACAAGACTGAAGCAGTGAGACCAGTTGCTGAGCTGTTTCACACCACAGTTGGTAGCTTGAACTAGGTTAGGATTCACTAGGATTTAAGAGGTAAACTATTTAAGATTCAGTTGGGGGCTGGGGATTTAGCTCGGTGGTTCTGCTACCTGCCTCGCAAGCACAAGGATCTGCGTTCAGTCCCCGGTACCAAAAGGATTCAGTTGGTGTTGGAGGAGAGATGGCAGAGATGCTCCTTAGTTTTATCTTGGACAAATGATGGCTGGTAGTTGCGGTTTCTGAGGCAGGGACACTGCAGGTGTGAGTTTGAAAGGACTTTGCTAAGTTTGAGGTGCCTTGTCCTTTGAGCAGGTGGGGATAAAGTGTGTTAAGCTCAGCTATGAGCAGGAGAAGTAAATTACATCTGAGTATAGAAAAGGAGATGAACAGAGAGCTCGGTTCCAAGTGGACAGAGAGCTTTAGACAGTGATAGAGTGTGGACTTAGAAAGCTGCAGTACCATGGAAGGAAGAGACCAGCTTTTTGGTCCCGAAAACGATAGTAGGTTTTGTTTTTGCAAGGCGGGAAGCATTTTATTGTTTTGATTTTTAGATTTTGCTTGATATATATTTTGTTAATATGTAAGCAACTCAGTTTGTTCAGTTTCTCGGACCTATTTTGTGCAGAAAAGAGCCTCAATTCCACAACATGCACAAGACTTAAGACCTCATTTTGAGAGCCACATGCTTATGATGCCTAGTTTTGAGCTCTCAGACAAATTTCCCACCTTCTGCACTCAGATCACAGTCTTAAGCAGTGGTCCTGGTGGGTACATCAGAGGTTTTGTCTCATCCATTTTGTGTGTGTGTGTGTGTGTGTGTGTGTGTGTGTGTGTGTGTGTTTACCTCCCGTAGCTTTGGCTCCTAAAGCACAGGCACAACTCTAGCTTTTTGCAAGTCAAGGAGCTCTGCTTCTCCCTTTGCGTGTGTACGTGCAGCTTTTTTGAAGGCTTTTTCACTTTTTTAAGGCATATTTGTGCTGCTTTGACTAGCTCTTTCAATACCTGCTTTTGCACTGTGAGGCCACAGTGTGCTTACTGATGTTTTTTCAAAGCCCTTAGAACAAAGCAGACACACATCTGCCCTAGAGGACCTTAGCTTGGTTCTTAAGTTTGTTCAGTACTCAAAAGGACTGGAGAAAAATCAGCCAGGAGCAGCTGTTTAAGATAGAAAATCTTTTTTGAATTGGTAGAATTTTTCAGAAAAGGTTAATCCATTATTCAGGGTGTCTTCCTCAGTTCTTAATTTTTGGCTTATAGGATAGTATTTTGTAATTTTTTTTTCTTTCGGTACGGGAGACCGAACTCAGGACCTTGTGTTTGCGAGGCAGGCAGCGGAACCACTGAGCTAAATCTCCAGCCCTAGTGTTTTGTGATATTTTAAGTTTTGTAGCAGTTTTGTCAGGTTTCTTTATGGGTAACCTCCCCCTCCACCATGCCAGGAAGATTAAAGTTGTAACTGTTGTTTCCTTTGTCTTCTGTTACACTTACAACCTTGTAAGTGAGTAGATATGTAACGGGGTTCCTTGAAGTGGAGCCAATTATATTTATATCGCAGATTATGAAAGTGGCACAGGATATACTTTGAGGGTCTTTCTGTCTCTAGAATCGAAATTGAAAGGAGTCTTACACTTACCTTGGTTCTCACTTGAAAACACGTCAGCTTTCTGTGCTTTCATTTTCTAACCAAGTGGGTTTCATGAAAAACCTGCGTAATATAAAAAGAAGATAATGTACAACAGTTACACTTTGAAGCTCAAAAGGAAATATCTATCTGAATTGGCTACTTTATAACTCCTATGAGGGGGGTATGTCTTGAATGTAGGAACAGGCAAGTCCTCAGTATACCTGTCAAGTGGGAGAACATGTGTGCCCCATGTGCAGTTTCCATAACTGCCTAAAATGTAGTTGGGCAAAATCTTCCTGGTGGTGGTAAAACATTTACAGTATAATTTTTTTTTTTTTTTTTTTTTTTTTTTTTTTTTTTTTTTTTCAGGGATCAAACTCAGGACCTTGGTGCTTGCCAGACAGGCACGGCACCACTGAGCTACATCCTGGGCAAAAGATAACTTTTGAAAAACTTTAAAGGCTGCATTTTTTTTTTTTAAGTACCAGGGATCAAACCCAGGTCCTTGTGCTTGCAAGGCAAGTGGCAGCTCCACTGAGCTAAACCCCTGGCCCGAAGGCTGCATATTGAAGAGGAGATATGATAGAAATTTTAATTGAGAAAATTTTAGTAATATTAAATATATTTTTATGTGACCAACATAGCTTTTTTCTCCCTAAATTTTTTATTTTGCTTACTTTTTGTCACATGCAATCTCCCTTTTTTTCTCTCATAAGTTTTTTGTTCTGAGTCAGTACTTGAACTTAGGGCAATGTCTGGGGATACTTTTGGTTATCATTAACAGAGAAGAGAAGTGGCAGGGACTTCTGGCATCAAGTAGGTAGCGGCCAGGGCTACATAACAACTTCATGCAGCAAGGAATGATCTAGCCCAAAATTCCAGTATTGTCAAGATTAAGAAACCCTGTTCTTCTAGGTATTATATTTTGAATAAGACTACTGAATCGAGATTCTGTATTTCCAGTTACCTATACGTTGTAGTTTTTTCACAATATAGATAATCATTATACCAAATCTGAGAAATAACTATCTTCTCTATGAATTAACCCATTTCTCATTTAAGAAAAAAATGTGCAGCCCACTGCCTGCGTGTAAATGGAAATACCACTACTATAAAAGGAATGCTATTAGCTCAGACTTTTTATATTATTTTTGAAGTTTTAAAATTTAATATATGTATGTTTAAAATATATAGTATATTAAATACGTTGGTTTCAAAAAAAAAAAAGGATGCTATTAGTAGAATGATGTCTTTTGTTTCCAAAGACTATTGATAATACTACAGCAATGCAGAAATAAAAACGAGATATTTTGTGGCAGACTTTGAGAGTAAGATTAGGACTGTAATCTGCCAATTTCTTGGGAAAAAAATGGAAAATGGGTTAAGAGATAATGTATAAGCTGGGCATGGTCGTGCGTGACTGTAATCCCAGCATTCAGTAGGCTGAGGCAGGAGGACTGCTCTGAGTTTGAGGCCACCTTACATAGTGAGTTCAAGGCCAGCCTAAACTACATAGTGAGACTGTCTTAAACAAACAAACAAAAACAGTGTATAATTAATGTCTCATCTCATTATTTTATCCATTACTGAAATAACTAATTGCTAAAATATATTACCTTATAATGTTTTATGACAAAGGATATAGTTCATAAAGCTGTAGAAGGGAAATGGATACGTAGGTGTTTCTAAGACACTAAAGAGCTACTGTATTTCTCTTGTGTATGTGGTGTGTGCATGCATTTATATGTGACAGACAATATGTGTGTTAAATGAGTTAATAATGAAAAGCTCCATCACAGCAGGAGTTACCTTTACAGAGGAAGAAAGGGCTATGGGGGATAATGAGCCAGAATTTTGTAATGGCAACTCGGGGATTAACATATATGAATATCTGCTCTATCAGATGCAGTGAGCATTTTCTCTGTTGTTGCCTCTTTTGGTGGGGGGAGACGAGGGATCGAACTTAGGAACTTGTGCTTGCAATGCAGGCACGGTGCCAATCCCCGGCCCAAAAAATACCCCCCCATCAATGACCCATAAGCTAATTCTTTATTTTATAGTCAGGGAAACAAATTCTGATAGGTTGACTGAGTAAGAATTAGAATGCATGTTCCTGGCTCCACAGCCCTTATTCTTTGTACTTTGTTACCCTGTCTTCAAAGAGTTGCTTTACAAATACTTCATTCACCTTAGCTTTTTCTGGATGATGTTCTGATTTTGTGAAACACTATTCTTGATTTTCATTTTAGATGTGTGGTCTTTTTGAATGACAGGATTATGAATAATGACAATTCATTACTTTGTTAAAGTGAGAGCTCCTAATCCAGGTTGATACGAGTTAAATTGGATAAATTACCGTGAGATTAATTACCGTGAGATTATTAATTACCGTGAGATTGTTCCCTTCTTTGCCAAAGGTATCTGGAATTAAAATTTGTACTATAGCTCTGATGTCACACCCTGCTTGTCGTTGTGTACATTGTGCCTTGTCTTTCTGTGTAAAGTACACTTCATATGCTATCTTTCATCACCAGAATTCCTCCCTGTAAGGGTGTAAATGAGGAAACCCAAAAGGCTCTGGATCGCTCTCTCCTTGATTGCACTTTCCGATTACAAGGTAGAAATAACCGCACATGGGTGGCAGAGTTAGTGTTTGCAAACTGTCCACTTAATGGCACTTCTACCAGGGAGCAAGGTGAGATGTTTCACACACTTTGTCTTTGCATATTTGTGAAAATTTTTTAGTATTTATTACTATTAATCTTCTCTTTTAATCCTGTAGGACCATCCAGGCATGTTTACCTGACATATGAAAATCTGTTGTCTGAACCTGTTGGTGGTAGAAAAGTGGTTGAAATGTTCCTTAATGACTGGAGCAGCATTGCACGATTATATGAGTGTGTGTTGGAATTTGCACGTTCTCTACCAGGTACATGTGTAACCTTCCTTTTAAATTACTTCCCCTTCCTTTATAATTTAATTGAAGTAAAAATGCACTTTGTTTATAAAAAATATGTCTAATAAAAATGTGTCCCTTTCATCCCAGGCATCAATTTCCTTCCCCCAGATACATCACTGTTTTAAATTCTTTTGTTTCTAGAAGTTTTTAAACTCAGATCTACCTGTGCATACCTATGTTATTGTAATATAGTTCTGTGCTTATTTACTGTCTGCCATAGCATTTACTTCTGTTAATTCCCTCAATCCTCACAGTAGCCTATGAGGTAGTTAGCATTCCTCATTTTACAAATAAGACAAGTCACGGATACTAAGAACATTGCTGAAGGCCACGTAACAAGTAAGTGGCAGAACTGGAATTGGAACCCTCTATCTGCTAGACTGCTTCAGTATCTGTCCCCTTCCTTGTCCCGGCCCCATTTTGTAGCATATTATCTGTTTGTGCTGTTGCCTTTGAAAAAAAAACAAAAACACTACTTATTTTAAAAGCTTTTTAAAATTTGGCATGTAGCCGGGTGTGGTGGCGCACGCCTGTAATCCCAGCACTCCCCAGCACTCGGGAGGCTGAGGCAGGAGGATCCCTGTGAGTTCGAGACCAGCCTGAGCTACATAGTGAGTTGCAGGTCAGTCTCAACTACATAGTGAGACCCTGTCTCAAAAAAAAAACAACAAAACAAAAAAAAGTTTGGCATGTACATGTATACTATTAATTTCCTTTTTGTTTCCATTTTGCTTAGATATACCTGCTCATCTCAATATTTTTTCAGAAGTTCGTGTTTATAATTACCGAAAACTTATTTTGTGTTATGGAACCACCAAGGGAAGCTCAGTAAGTCTGATTTTAAAACTTGGAAGTCCCTCTCTTGTGAATCTTTTAAAAATCAAGAACCCCCAAAACATAAAAAAATGCCTTAAAATGAATAATGACTGAAGCGTGGCCCTGTGGCTCAGCAGTCACAGCACCTATCTTATATTAGTAAGCACTGAAGTAGAAATCAGGGATAAAATTATAAATATCAAAGATTTGGTTGACATAAATATAGTATACTATAACAAGTAAGTCTTTAAAATTCAAAAAGATACCCTCTTTGATGAGGTATATGATCTTGAAGAGCTTTTGGACTCAGTAATGTCTGATTTCCAAAATATTTGGCAACGTTACTAGTGTGAATGGCTGTGAATAACATAGTATGCCTTTGCTTGGGTCACCTGAATGTTATTGTGTGATCCTGTCCTAATCTTGAGGTTACTCCTTGTAATCTACATTTCCTTGTTTTTTTTCTCACTCCACATATAAAGTTCTAGAAATTTAGTATAAAAATGCAACCAGCTGACCCCTCTGTGGACTCCTTCAAGTCAGAAATTACCTGTGTGTTTTATTAAAGTGAATTAACTGAACGTATCTATGTTGGGGTACATTATCTATGTTACTTCTGCTTTGTAATAGTACTCCTTAGTTGATGGCAGTAGGAGTGATTGTTCTTCAAGAGAAACATGAAAAATAAGAAACACTAGTGATACTTAACCAAATCAAATGTAATCAAAATTTATTCGTTCTGGACATGATAGCTAATGTCTGTAGCCACAGACACTCAGGAGACTGAAGCAGGAGGATCACAAGTTCAAGGCTAACTTGGGTGACTTAGCAAGACCCTGTCTCAATAAATAAATGAATGAATGAGTAGATGGATGAATGAATAAATGAATGAATAAAGTAAAAAGATTCAGGGGTATAGCTTAGAGGTAGAAAACTTCCTGGATTCAATCCCCAGTATCACAAAAAAATTATTTTTCTTTAGCACCTTCTCTTTGTGTTTTATTTAGTAGAAGAGGGCTAGCACAGATGCTCAGGGAATATACTGGTTTATATTACTAGTACATCTGGAGTTTGAATCCAGTCTTCTTTTTTTAAAAAAAAGACATTTCGAGAGGTGATGAGATAAAAATAACTGAAGTATGTTATATACATGTATAAATCTGCAAAACTAAAACCTATTAATCTGTAAATCAAAAAGAAAACATTTGTTAAAAAAAAGGAAAAAAGACCTCATTTAGATCTTTAGCACTTTGCCTTTTTAATATTTTATCTTCTACTTGAATCTGTTATTTTCTGTTTCTGAAACATACAATCTCTTGATTTAGATTAGTATCCAGTGGAATTCCATCCATCAGAAATTCCATATTTCTTTGGGAACAGTTGGCCCAAATTCCGGTTGCAGTAACTGCCACAATACTATTCTCCATCAGCTTCAAGAAATGTTCAACAAAACACCAAATGTGGTTCAGTTATTACAGGTAATTACGTTGATATTTATGTTTAAAAATAAGACCTTGTCAGTGTTAGTGTCTCGTTCAGTTGCTTCAAAAATATCATGTAGACTTCTACTGGTCTTTAATGACTAAAGTAGGTGTCTTTGTCTCTGTCTTGAGCCGCTTTTTGACAGTTGTTTTTAATCAAAGTGGGCACCATGATCTAGTTTGTATTCTCTTCAAGGGAAAGTTTTAGGAAATATACCAGAAGGACATTCTGTCATTTGTGATAGTTACACATTGAAAATTCTGAGGTTTTAACATTTGTACAGAAACTGGCTGCTCTCACCGTGTATGCTCTTTATAGGTACTGTTCGATACTCAGGCTCCATTAAATGCCATCAACAAACTCCCCACTGTGCCGATGTTGGGCCTGACCCAGAGAACCAACACTGCCTACCAGTGCTTCTCCATTCTGCCGCAGTCATCCACCCACATCAGACTGGCCTTCAGGAACATGTACTGCATTGACATATATTGCCGGAGTCGAGGCGTGGTGGCAATACGGGATGGAGCCTATAGTCTTTTTGATAACAGCAAGTTAGTTGAAGGTTTTTATCCTGCACCAGGACTAAAGGTAACAACAGACTTTAGTGTTATAGCATGATATACTAAATGTAAATGTCCTCCAAAACAGTTCTTCTGCGGGAGAAATAATGGGCAAAAGCAACAGTCCTGTTAGGATTTAGTAAGTAGCAATGTTAAGTCATCATCTCTGGAAATTTACTCTGAAGACTCTAATATGAGTGTCCAACCTTTTGGCTTGCTTAGGCTGCATCGAGAGAAGAGAAGTTGTCTTGAGCTGCATATAAAATATGTAATATAGTTAATGCATATAAGTAACAAAACTTCCTTTTCTAAATTTTTTTTTTTGATTTTTTGAGGCAGGGTCTCACATGTAGTTAAGACTGACCTGGAACTCACTATGTAGCCCAGGCTGGTCTCGAACTCCCAGCGATCCTCCTGCCTCAGCCTCCCAAGTGCTGGGATTACAGGCGTGCGCCACCACACCCGGCCTAAATTTTTTAAAATTATAACATAATAAGTTTGCATGAAGTGCCGGGCACATGTGTACCAGCTAATAAGAAGTTCTTTATTTGTTTAACTTTCGATGAATAAGGTACTAAAGCGTGCCATGTTTACTCTTTGGAAATTTAAGGAATTTTGAAAGTAATCTTCATCATTGATTATTGAAAAAAATGTTTGATCATCAGTTCAACTATATGACACTTTCTAAAAACGTAACATCTTGTGCCACAACTGCTGGAGATTCTCATGTGATAGCTCAGTTGTTTATGTTTAGAGTCAAATAGTTCCAAAAGGCTTGTTTGGAAAGTCTTCTACAGACCGTTTTCCTGCTCCTGAGACATACCTATTTTTAATTTATATATAGCTGATTCTTAGTATTTATATCCATATCTCTAGATAGCATGCTTGTAGTATTATTTGTTGACTTTCTGGTTTAGGCCTTATCCGATTCTCACTGTGGAAAAGAAGGAATTAATTCTTAAATTGTTTTTGTTTTTGCATGTACTCTCTACCTTCCTGACTACTCTCAGTACGTGAACGCATTTTTCTTTCCTCCTATGTTTGCAATATGATTGGATAGCTACTATGACTAGGCAAATTTTTAATTTTCACATTATTAGGAATAAATAAACACTGCTTGTTCCAAGCTTACTACGATTACTTTTCCTTTCTTGTTCAGTATTTTATTTACCTGGGAATTATTGATTTTTTTTTTTTTTTTTTTTTTTTTTTTTTTTTTTTTTTGAGACAGGATCTCACTATCTAGTTCAGAATGCTCTGGAACTCAACTCTGTAGCCCAGGCTGGTCTCAAACTTACAGCGATCCTCCTGCCTCTGCCTCCCGAGTGCTGGGATTACAGGCGTGTGCCACCATGCCGGGCTTACCTGCTTAGCTTTTTCTATAGTTATGACTAACTCCATGTTAAACTCCCTCCTAGTTGTGTAACTCTCCTTTCAGCACTTACACATATATCAGATACCGTACTGGTTTCATCTTGAAATCTCTTCCGTGCTCCTTTGATCTACTCCAGTTTGATAGCACTCCAGGCTTTTTGTGGAATTGTGACATAGGAATCTACAGCAGGATGAAGGAGGAGAGGCCCTGCTTCTTTCTTTTGTTGCATGCCCTGTGGCTTAGCCCCTATGTTTTATTCTTGGTTTACTTGTTTTTTTTGGTATCGTAAATCCTATAACTTCCTGGGAGAAGGTACCTAGGAGGTTATTTGAGACCTAGTATAGCTGAAGGCCTCTTCCCTCATCTAATTGAGAGTGACTAGATGCAGAGAGATTCTAAGCTGCAGTCGTTTTCTGTACAAATATTGAAGGCATTGCTTTTTTAGATTCCATTGTGACTGTGAAGGTGCTTTGCTATTCTAATTCTTGAACCTTATGGATCTGAGTGGGCTCTTTCAGTTTGAAAATTTAATTCTTTTGCACTGGAAAATTTCCTTGCATAATTTCTTGCTATTTTCTGTGCTAGCTATTTCTGGTAACTACTGTTCTGATGTTGGGCATCTTAGACTTGTCCTCTAATTTTCTTATCTCTTCTGAAATTTTTCTCTGTGTTTCTGGGAAACTTCCTCATTTTCTATTCTCATCTTTCTACTTTTCCTTTCTGCCATAAAATTTTTTTGGCATTTAAAAAATTTCCAAAAGCTCTTTTTTGCTTCTAAATGTTCACTTTATGACATCATGTCTTGTATGGCTATATTATCTTCTTTTCTTCCTATATAATTTCCATTTCTTACTTTTTTGAGGGGGTTAATTTCTTTCGTTTTAGTGTCTTCAAATATTAATTCTTAATTCTTCTTTTATTTAAAGAGAAGATTTGCTGACCGTTGCAGGAGGATCTGCTTAGGCCATTTCTTTGGGAAACTTTCATTGCCAGTGGCTTTAGGTCATTTTTTGGGACTGGTATGAGTACCATGTGAAGAGTGTTCAAATTTCCTGAATAAGGGCCAGGGATTTAGCTCAGTGGTTCCACTGCCTGCATCACAAGCTCAAGATCCTGAGTTCGATCCCTGGTATCAAAAAAAAAAATTTTTTTTTTCCCGAATAAATGACATGCATCTGACTCCCAGTTTGGGGAAAGTCAAATGAAAAGAAAAGTGGTATTTTTGACTATCAGTATGTGGACTTTAATCCCCACTTTTGTTTTGTTTTGTTTTTTTTTTTTTTTGGTACCACGGATCAAATTTGGGACTTTGTGATTGTGAGGCAGGTGGTGGAACCACTGAGCAAAACCCCCAGCCCCTAATCCCCATTTTTAATATATGATGCCTTTTCTCTCCATTTATCCATGGAGACCTTCAAGTCAAGAGTTTTCATTCCAGGAAAATTGAGATCAGCTCCGCATAGCCCAGGTAGCATAAGATTTGGGAGAGTTAAGTGTCTCTTAAAGAGATTTAAAGCTGGGTTTGGTGGTGTACGCCTATAATCCCAGCACTCAGAAGCTGAGGCAGGAGGATTGCTGTGCATTCAAGACCAGCCTGGGCTTACCCAGTAGGTTCAAGGCCAGCCTGAACTTCATAGTGAGACCTTGTCTTGAAAAAAATAAAATAAAGAGACTTTCACCCAGTTCTGTTTTAAATCCCACCTCCATGCACATTGCCAGGGGTGTCTGGTGCTACCAGTTCCAAAGCATCTTTGGGATCTGGATGGAAATAACTGCTCTTTGGCTTTCCCTGTGACTTGCTTAGAGTTTCTCACATTGGATGCTTCAACCATCTACTTTGTAAACTCCAGAATGTATTGCTGTTTTTTCTCTTCTCTCAGTCTTTTTGTGTTTGTGACTTACTACTTTAAATTATTTTTAGTGGTTTTATTTAGTAGGGTATCGAGAGGATAGAATGTGTATTGCAAATCCATTATTTTTATTAAAAGTCAGACTGTATACTTTTAATAGTGCTCTAGTGATTTTGGTAAGACTATTATATACATCTTTGAAGACTGGGAAGCAGAAGGTATTAAAAGAGTGAGAATCTCCTGGAGACACAAAATCTGGTAGCTTTGCTCAGTTTTTGGATGCCATATCCTATAAAATAAGGCTGTCCCACTCTTGGCAGTTCAGGATTAAGTCATATAATTAAAAAAGCCAAAAGTTGGCGTAATTCTGAATCAGTTTTCCTGTCATATTCTCTAGATTAAAAAGTGAGAACTCTCATGAAATGGGAAATTTTACAAGTTATTTATATGACCAACATACAATTTTTCACTCCCCCCCCCATTCTGGTCAGAAGTTAATAAAATATTTTGACCTGAAGGTAAGAGGTACCAGGATATACTTCTTTGTTCACTTTTTTTATATAATACTTCTTTTTTTAATACAGTATTGTTATAATTTTTTACTTCAGTGTTATTTTTATTGTCGTTGACCATTTTTCCTTCTCCCTTCCATTAGAATGAGTGATATCTCGTCTAGATTGTCCTAATAATACTTTTCAGGGATGGACATTACATATTTGCTTCTGTTCAAAAATTTATTTTACTAAAGTACTGTAAATTTTACTCATTTACATCCACAGACGTTCCTGAATATGTTTGTTGACAGCAATCAGGATGCCCGAAGAAGGTCTGTAAATGAGGACGATAATCCCCCTTCTCCTATAGGAGGAGATATGATGGACTCTTTAATATCACAGCTCCAGCCGCCACCCCAGCAGCAGGTAATTGTCTTAGTAAAACTCCAAACACAGTGTCACATTTGTGTAACTCTCTAGTTTCTCCAGGTGTCAGGGTTTCTTTCTTGAAAGATGAAGTCCTTGGTAGCCCAAGATGCCCAGGAAATCCTTACTTTAAAAAAAAGATGGAGGAAGGTGAGGAGGCTTTCTGTAATGGGAAGCGAATAGTGCCAGGAAAAGCATTGACCCCAGACACTGAGATCACACATACACTTGAGATGATGTGATGTGACTCCAAGGATGGGGACATCCTCTGTGAGACCTTTGGAAGCATGTCCTCTCCATGTCCTGAAGGACAACTATTTTTAAATTATGAGTACTGAGATTGATATGTATAGTGATATTCAGAAGGGACTCCTGCGTAGAACAACAGAGAGGGAGTATAGATAGAAATGTCAAGGGTTCTGTCCTCATGCCATTTACTTTTTGGGTTTTGTTTTGTTTTGTTTTTGAGACAGGGTCTCACTCTGTAGTTCAGGCTGGTTTTGAACTCACTATGTAGCTAGGCTGGCCTTGAACCTGTGGCAGTCCTCCTACTTCACCCTCCGAAGTGCTGGGATTACAGGTGTGAACCACCACGCCTGGCTTGTCCTCAAACCATTTGGATAAACTACATTATTGAATCCTAAAAGCTTTCAAGTTAATCTTACACTGTCAACATGTCTGTGCCTGAGGAGGCCCCCAGGCCAACCTTTGTTCTCATGCTGAATGAGAAGATGACCAGGGATTTTTTTTACCCCTGCCACAGTCACATGGGACTTTCCTAGCCTGGAATGACTCATTGTGAATGTGCAGAAGCTTCCTGACTTTACCTAGAAGACTTCAAAGGCCCAGTGTTTGTTCTATGTGAACACATGACCTGAAGGCAACAAGAGCTCACTGTTACTCACCAGAAATATACTTGAAACAGAATTACTTGGGACAGCATTGTGAGGGAATTCATTTAGCTGTTTTATTACCTGCTGTCTGGCTGGCTTCTTAGTAACTGCAACTTTACAGTGCTTACATACATACCAGGGCAAATTGTACTATTCCTGACAACTATTCAAGTTTCTTTCCTTCCCTCTTTATTTCCCTTCTTTTTGGCTTTATTTTTTGAGATAGGATCTCACCATGTGCTCCAGGTTGGCCATGAGCTCCCTATGTAGTCTAGGCTGGCCTTGAACTCATAATTCTTCTACCTCAGCCTTCTGAGCGCTTGGATTATAGGTGTGTGCCACTGTACCTGGTTTCGGGGCTTCTCTTCTTGACCTTCATAAAGATGCAGGAAAGCTCGTATAAAGCCCCATGTCAGTGCTTCTGTGTAGGAAAGGCATGGGTCTCTTGTGACAGACATTGACTCGTGAGATACTAGCTCTCTGATGGTCATGCTGAGCCACCATGGAGAAGTGCTTTAGCAGCTTTTTTTTCTTGTGGAAGCCACTTACTTGCATTGTAGGTTTTTGCTGTACCCAATATGGAATGCAGGGATATGCCACATCTTGACAAAAAGAAGTGACTTGCATGAGCTGGCTGGTGACCATAGCCATAGCAGGGCTAATGTTGTATGGGGAATGTGTGGAGAGTGAGATCCCATTGTTCTCTCCTGGCCCCAAATAAGTCATACATTAGTCTTTCTGCAGATTATTTGTTTTTGTCATTGAAAAATCATAATCTGACACAGAAAGACCCTATAGTGCTAATTTATTCCATATTGTGATTTTGGTATGGTCCTCTATAGCATTAGCATTTCATACTGAGTGTGAGATTTTTAGAAAATAATTACAGGCTAGGAAAAAGGATTAGAAGTGGATAGATTTGGGGGAAAGTTAGAATAGCTGGCACAATGGTGTGCGCCTGTAATCCCAGCACCAAGACCGAGGTGGGAAGATCATTTGAGCTCAGGAGGTCAAGACCAGCTTGGGCAGTATAGCGAGAGACCCCAGCTCAAAAAAAAGTTAGAATAACTTTTCATTTTGTGAACATTCTAGAGTTTTTCTTCTTTTTCTTATTATATATTTAACCTACAACTAGAGCTTTTTTTGTTAATTTCTCAATTGATGTGTGGCATTTAGTGCAAGTCAGTATTCTTTTTAAAAAAATTCATCTATGGCCGAATATCTTTGGTTAGTGGCTTTGGCTTTAGGTATTCTTAAGAATCCAGCAATTTATTGAACAATTTCAGTTTTAAGTTATTTTCTGTTTAACAGATACAGTGGTTATACTCGGATTTGTAAACTGTTAAATTCCATGATAGTTGTGAGGGAGACATTCATAGTTTCTTGTACATTTTACTTGATGTTAGTAGATACCTTCTTTTATATAAAATGTAGTTATATTACATAAGCTAGTCCATGAGAAAAACATAGGGAGAAGCAGTAAGAAAAATCAAAACAAAATAAGACCGGACAACCTAGTTTTTAAAATGAGTGAAAGATTTGAGACATTTCACAAAAAAGGATGTCCAAGTGACTGGGAAGCACAGGAAAGATGTTTAAACCTCATCTGATATCACAGTAATATAAATGAAAGCTACAGTGAGATAATACTCTACACACCACAAAAAGGACTCTTAACAAAGGCAATTGAATAATTCCCATATACTGATGCATCACATATACTAATACAAAATACAAACAATAGATAATTCTTGCTAACATTAGGATTAGGAACAACTGAAACTCATTTACTTCCAGAAAGTTTGTAAAACAATTGCCTTGTGGTACTGTTTAGCTGTAGTCTAGGATGCTAAAACTCAACATTATACATACTTGTGATTTAACAGTTACTCTTAGGAATATATGCAGTAGAAGTGCATCAGAAAACAGTTTTTATAGCAACCTTATTCCAAAAATTGTGGAAACTCACGTATCCAACAACTGTAGAATGAATGAATACGTTGAAGCATATTCACACAAAGAAATATGTTAAAGAAATGACAAAACAAACCACTGTCACCTGCAACATGCTGGGTGAGTTTCACTGAAATAATGTTCCACAAGAGAAGCCAGACATTATCAAGAGTACATTCAGTATTTATAGGAAATGCAAAAACAGGACAAGGCTGGGTGATAAAAGTCTTTGGGGGAGGAAAGAAAGACTTGGAAGGTGTATAAGGGAGACTCATAAGTATGTAATGATCTTCAGTGTCTTGTGCTCTCTGGTAGCCACATTTTAAAAAATTCACCAAGGGGCTGGGGATTTGGCTCAGTGGTTCTGCTTCTTGCCTCGCAAGCATGAGGCCCGAGATCAGGGATTGATCCCTGGTACCAAAAAAATTCCCCAAACTGCATATCTAATATTTGTGCTCTTTACTACATGTGATCTATACCTCAAATTTTTTGAAAACTAAGGTGATTAGATTATTCTTGGTTTTTCATCACTGAAAATGAAAGATAAAGGTGAACAGGGGTCAGGTTGAATTACCCTATCTTACTGACTATAAACTCTACAAAATGTAAGATGCAGCATTTTTATGTACCGCTAGAAAAAAAAAAAAACCCTGCAAATTAAACTGACATACCAGAAGTTGAAAGGTACACCATGATTTCAGAGATGTTAATGTGCAGGGGGAAATTTCTTGGAATCCATGAAACGGTAATTAAGTAATGCAGATAAATCAGTGGTGTAGTAGAAAAATGAACAGGATATAGCTTGAGGGGTAGAAACTGGTGTTGCAAGGTCAGGAATGTAGCTGCTGCTATTGTGAAAACACTTTGAAAATCAGTTTTTAAAGACAGTGTATATTTTCCACTATTGATGTGTGTTTTGTACACTTTCATATCTTGTATTCCCTATTTGGTGACCCGTGAAGTGTGTGAATGTTAATACTATAGCTACAATCAGGGAAAGTCACAGTCTTACACTATCTTCAGTTGGTCATTTCACCACCATTTAATTTTCTTCTTTTTAGCCATTTGCAAAGCAGCCGGGAACATCAGGAGCTTATCCCCTTACTTCGCCCCCCGCATCTTATCACAGCACAGTTAATCAATCTCCCTCTATGATGCACACACAGTCTCCAGGTAAGATATTCCTTATTCCCTTGTCATAGTCAGCTTTTAAATACAAAATACACATGTGTGTGAGTGCATGAATGTATGTGCGTGCTTGCACTTGTATACACACACACACACACACACACACACACACACACACACACACACTAAGAAACACTGTAGCCTAGTATTTCAGAGAGAATTCCCTTTGTAGACTGGCTAGATAATCGCCATGTTTTCATTGTGACTGAATTGTAAAATCTGTGTTCATAGTTTAGGAGTACTTTAAAAGACTTGAATTAAGATGTGGTATTGTCACCCAGAGCCAGACTTATTTGTACTAATCACAGAATAATTGCAACATAGTCTATATCAGAGATCGATGAACTTAGGCTTATAGGCCAAATCGTGCACACCACCTTTTTCTGTAAATGTATAAAGTTTTATTGGCACACAACCATTCTCATTGATATCTGTGGCTGCTTTCCTTCTGCAAACATCCCATTTACCAGGCTTTGCTATGTGAAGGATGGCTGTTTCCCAGTCCCCAGAGCCAGGCAGTGCACATCTTATTTGCCCAAACAAATTGGCTTTGTCGATAGCCCCATGTGCAGTGGAAAAGTGCTGGAAAATACCAACCTTTCCTTTTGACTGAATAAGATTCAGTGGTATCTCTTGAACATTTGGTCTGTAATAAATACTGCTGGCGCTCGGCATTCTTCAGGGAGCCAGATGCTGGCGCTGCTCTCCAGTGCTTATGACCTAGCAACATATCCAGGAAGACAAGTAGCAGCTCTTGTTTGTCTGGGTAGGGGGGTGAAGCATGACCTCTTGTCTGCTAGCTCCTGTATTTAATCTGTTCTGTATCAGTAGTGCTGCTCAATATAATGATTTTTAAAGTTTCAGCATGAAGGATGCGATATGTAATATGGGATGTAAAAATATAAGAAGTAATTTTTCAGAGTATATGTCCAGTAAAATTCTCTTAATATATCAGTCCAGTCAACTAAAGAATGCATTATCATTTGAAAATATTCTAGCTTATTTATGAAAAGACAGAGCAAACATAAAACTACACAAAACTTTGATTCTTTTAAAGTGAAAAACCCAGTAAATGCATTTCTAGTTTTCTGAGTTTTTGTTTAGTAAAGCAGAATTTGCCATGCATACTTTTGTCCCTTATAAAATACAAAATAATCATTTTATTTGTGTATGTATAAGTGTGTTGTGAGAGAGAGAGATTTATATTGATCAGAACCAGTAATTTTCAGATGAAAAACAGGGACATCACTTGCTAACTTCACTTGCTAATTTCAGTTATAAAATGGGAATATAAAACATTTTTCTTAGAGATGTTGTGAGAATTGAATGAATAAATTCACATAAAGTGTTTAGTTTGGGGCATAGCACACAACTCATTCCTCTTTGACCAACCTCTTGCCTGGTTGCCCAGATTGGGCTGTTTGATATCCAGCACTGTTCAGGCACTCAACCCTGGCACATCCCACCCCAATGTATGTCACTTAACCACTAGATTGCCCTGCACGTTACTATAGTATGAGGGCTTTTTTTTTTTTTTTTTTTTTGGTTTTTTGAGACAGGGTCTCACTATGTATTTGAGACTGACCTGGAACTCACTGTGTAGCCCAACCTTGAACTCACAGTGATCCTCCTGCCTCAGCCTCCAGAGTGCTGGGATTACAGGCCTGCACCACCACGCCTGGTTTATTTATTTTTTTAAACAGATCTTTATTTTAAATATCTTTAGCCAGGTGTGGTGGTGCACACCTGTAATCCCAGCACCTGAGAGGCTGAGGCAGGAGGATTGCAGTGAGTTTAAAGCAAGCCTGGACTACACAGTGAGTTCAAGGCCAGCCTGGGCTGCATAGTGAGACTATCTCAAAAAACCAAAAACAAACAAAACAACCGCAGCCTGAATTACATAGTGAGACATTGTGTCTAAAAAGAAAAGAGTAAAAAAAAAAATTGTTGAATTCTCCCCTTTTTTGGAGGGTGAATGCACATACTCTTTAGGTTCCTATTTACACAATCTTAATCTGTAATGCTGGGTGCAATGAGTGTTAGAGAAAGAGTCACTCTGGGTTTTGAAAGAGCATTCAGAGGAGAGTTGGCCATTTCTTCCCAGAGGTGTTTTGTCTGCTCTCTCCCCACCGTAATGCCACACTGGATAAGCTGAGACTTGAAAGATGGGCTGGAGTTAGCCATGTGCAAGGAGGTAGACATGGGGGTATTTCAGGCAGAGTCCTGGGGTGTGAGGCGTCTGAGGTCCAGAGGCTGGTAGGCTGTCCCTGATGGCTGGAGCATGGAGAGACAGGGCCCTGTTTTGAATTTTGCCCATTATTGTGTGGGTAAAGGAAGCCATTGTTGGATATTTGTGGCACTCTAGAGGTTCAGTTTGTTTAACACGGGGGCTGACATGGAGGAGGGGTGATTCCACAGGGAAGGAGGGAGGTTCTGTCCAATCTGTTGATTGTACACATCCCCAGAGCCTTCTCAGGCCATCTGTGGCTCAGCTGAGATGATTGGCACACATATGAAGACGTGGAAGTTGTCATATCCAGGGTCATTGAAGCCTGAGTGGGTGGGCAAGCTCAGCCTCTAGGAGTCCCGACATGTGTGTTGGAGAAACAGCTAAGGAAGAAGTAGGCAGAGAAACTCAACCCCAGGGGAGTATGTTTCTAGGATATGAGTTGAGATTGTGTTTGCGTAAGAAGGAAAAATAGTTTTGAAATAATTGGAGTAGCAGATAGGTTTATCATTACGTGCCATGCCCTATTCTAAGTACTTTACTCATTTAATCCTCACGGCAAATTTGTGGCATAGGTCCTATTATCCCCATTTTATGGAGAAGTTAAGTCACTTGTTCAGATCATACAGCTAACTAAACAAGCACAAAGTATAATGTTTAAAGGTTAATGAAGTGGTTCAATATTTATTGAGTGTAACACATTGGTTTGGGCATTACAGAACATAAAAATAATAAAATTATGGCCGAGTGTGGTGGCGCATACCTGTAATTGCAGCACTCTGGGAGGCTGAGGCAGCAGGAACACCAGAAGTTCAAGGCCAGCCTGGCTTCATAATGAATTCAAGGCCAGCCTGAACTATACAAAGAGACCCTGTCTCAATAAACCAAATAAATTAATAAGTAAATATGAAATTATGTAGTAGAGAATTTGAAACCTGTTTACTAAAAGTATGTAATGGTAATGTAGCAAGAATATTAATGTAGCATTTATTTATACTTTGGGTAGCCACAGTTGCCCCTTTGATAATCCTAAATTAAAACTGGCTCTATGGCTTTAAGTACTATCTTTAAATTCATGTCTTCTGGTTTTTATATCTCTAATCTAGATGTGGCCCCAGAACTTTAGCCCTACGTTTGCATATAGTTTAATAGCTGCCTGAAACTCAGCATAGCCACAAACACCCCAGTTCAGTAAATGGCAGCCCCTTCCTTTCTGTTACCTGGGCCAGAGCTGTTGGAGTCATGCTGAACTCCTCTTTCTGCACACTTGCATTATTTTAGCCACCTTTTATTTCATGTTGTCTGGTCCACGCTGCACTGGCCTCCCACTCATTCGGGGTAAACACATTCGGGGTAGTCCTTAGTGGCCTACAAGTTCCTTTGTGGTCTGAGATCCACTCCCAGACTCTCCAATGTCACATCTTCCAGGTTTGCTTTTCTCACTGTCCAGCACACCAGCCTCCCCTGTTATGCATAACTGCTTCCTCTTCTGGGGCATTTGCACTAGCTCTTCTGTTCGCCTGGAGTTCCTTACCCCTGGATAACCTCATGTCTTATCCTGCACTTTCTTCTAATCAAGCTCACATCTTTTGTTTTGTTGCTTTTTTT